AGAAAGGAGCCTTCTTATCATTAAACATCCATTTTCTATTATGCACAGAGGACCTGAATTCAAAGCTGTACCATATGTGAAGTTAGACAGTATAGTCTACTACAGGACTTTTATCCTTACTAAGTGATGCAACTTCATTTTCTAATAGTGTAATGTTCACTAGAAACTATTCCTCGTATATTTGGGTTGAATTTTTTGTGGATATTTTGATGCCTATTAAGTCAGAATTCATCGTATTGTTTCTATGTTTGTACTATCCACTTTTATCTTCCTTTTGGCTTTCCCAGTATTTTGTGTCATTGTAAAAAGACAATAAATTCCTTCCTGTATGTCACTACGTTTCTGAATCCTTTAATACGTTTTATTACTTTTGTCTTTTGAAGGAGTATCCTGTGTTCAATGTGCTAATTACAGTCTGGTTTGATAGTTATGTGTATATTTGTCTTCTTGCATTTTCCTTTTGCAATTAGTTAAATTACTTTTATACATTCTGTCTTCCATGGCTTTTAGGATTCTAGAATTGGTTGGTCATATGCAGGTATATACACCATTGATCATATGATGGCAATATACTGAACTTATAGAGTACTCCGTTGTAGAACTTGTAGATATGCGGTAGAACATCTTTCCATCTCAGATTTATGTTTGCTTTCATCATTACTAATCAGCATCTATTGACAGCTATATACATGTGTGATGTACAATTGCATTATTATATGCAGTTTTACTATATGTAGTTTATTCAAAAAATGTTCTTCTCACGTTTATACCCAGGTATTGAAAGGGTTTTCAGAGAATGTGATAGGAAATGTTTTACCTGCCTTACGTTCTTTACTGTGTATGAACATATGGATTCTGGTTAATGCAGCATGGAGGTACACCCAAGTGATCCCTGTACTCTGAACAGGGAGGCCAAAGATTGAAAGGTTGAGCTCAACCTGGGGTACTTAGAGACTTAACAATCTTCTGCCCAAAATCAATGTTAAATAATGTGGTCCTCTGTGAATGCATATCCAGTTTTGGCTTTTAAGTCATTATTTTCTCTTTAAATGTTTAAATTTAAGACTTCCACTAATATGGCTGGGGATATAGCTCAGCAGCACAAGTGCCTGCTTGGCAAGTGCAGGGTCCTGAGTAGGATTCCTGGTACCACCCAGAATAAAAATGTAAACAAAAAAGAATTCCACTAATAACATTAAATACTTATTTCTGATTAAAAGATTAATTGATCACAGGGTGTAGGTCTTTGACAATGTTGAGAGTATATTTGTACGAAATATTTGGTACCTATTTTAAATGAATGTGAGAATATTTCCCCTTTGTGGTATTTTTGAGTCTGCATATGCAATAGAGGTTTTTATTGGAGGGACTAAAGGAGTGGTTATAAGGATGGGTGGGTGGAAGCATGGACAGGTGGGTGGAAAGAGTATTAAAGGCAAAAAAGTGTGAGTAGAGTTCACCAAACCATTAATGGGACAAAAGAGTGAAGGAGAATGAGGGAGGAAACACACAAACAAAATGGAGACTTGGAGAGTTTTACACTTTTCTTGCTTTCTTCAGATGACTCTAATATATTCCATCAAAATCTCAAGACATTTGAACTCTGAAATGTAAGAATTTGTCACTATCGCCATCTGAAACAAACTTACGGAAATAGAACTGCCCCCCTTCTCTTCCCCTCAAATCTGCACAGCCCCAGCTCCTGGTATGAGTGACTCACCTGCTGACACAAATTCTCAGTCACCTGGGCTTTTAGCTTTCTTTCCTGTGTCTCCATTTCTGTATTTCCACATGTTTGGGCTTCTTCTCTATCTGGAATCTTCAGTCTGTCCCAATTTCCGCCCACAAACCACTTCCCAATGCTCTGAAACCATATGGTCAGGTGCAGTGACAGCAATGACTCCAGCTCTCTGCTTCCAAAATCTCTTTCAGTCTCGTCCTCATTGCTGAGACAAAATACTGAATACCTGCAATTTAAAGGAAGAGAGGTTTATTCTGTCTCATGGTTTTAGTTACAGGTTGGCAGGCTCTGATGCAGAAAGGCAGCACGGAAGGGCATGGCAGAAGAAAGCTGTTCAGCCACGGCAGGGAGGAGGCAAAGAGAGAAGGGAGAATCAGGGACAAGGACACAGACTCTCAGGTTAAGTCCCCAGGACCCCACCTCCAGCCAGGCACTACCTGATGACAACACATTTAGGTACCAAAATATCTGGGGATGAATCTCCTGATGAACACATGGCCCCATGATGTAGTCACCTTCCACACATAATACTCTGAGGGACAAAAAACAGAGACTGTGGGAAAATGGGGTGCAAAGAAAGGAAAATTTGTAGAGAAATCACTGGGTGTCGGAATCCTGTTAGGCCCTCTGTGCTCTAGTCTGCTGCGGCCCCCAGTACAAGACATCATTGTCCAGTTTGACACATTGCAAATGGAATATTTGAGGAGAAGAGTGTTTCATGAAAGTCACCCTCATACAAACCCGCCAGGACTGGATTCAGGTTCCAGCCTGGGCCGCTCCTCTCCCAGCCGCACCTGCACTCTCTTCCTGGCCTCAGACTGCTTCACAAGCCCCAGGGCTGGCAAGGAATTCCTGGCACAAAGCTGTCACTGAAAGCTATCAAAATCGCTTGAATGAAGCTGAATATAGAATCCCAGACTTTGAAGACAGCATGGCAGCAAGTGACCATGAAAGGAAGGATCTTGTAAAATCAACAAGGATCCAGGAAAAGTCAATACAACAGGTACAAGATGAGGTAAAGAGGAATAATGTACAACTTCTAGGATTCAATGAAACAGCACGAGACAACACAACTGACATAAAAAGAATATTTGCAGAAGTAATAGCAGAAAATTTCCCAAGCATGGAAACAACATGATGTACAGGTAAATGAGGCATATAGAACTCCAAATACCCACTACCAAAAGAAAACTACACCCAGACATGGAATAGTCATGTTCCCAGGTCTCCAGCAAAAGATCAGAATATTAAAAGCAGCTAGAGAAAAGAAACAGATTACCTATAAAGTAAAGCCCATCAGAATCATGGCAGACTTCTCAGCACAAACCATGCAATTGAGAAGAGCTTGGAGTAAACTATTACATGTCCTCAAACAGAACAGCTTTCAACCAAGAATGATGTATCCTGCCAAACTATCTCTCAAATTCAAGGGAGAAATAAAATATATTCACGACAAAGAACAACTGAAGAACTACATGAGTGCCCAACCAGCATTACAAAGACTACTAAAAAATATTCCAGAGAGAGAAAAATCTGACCACAATTTCAAGAACAAGAGTAGAAATGAAATGTCAGGAAGAACAATCAAGTAAACAGGTACAAAAAGTAAGACACCAACGCAAGTAAATAACATGACAATGATAAATGAATACATATTCCTTATAAGTATAAATGTAAATGGCCTCAATTCTCCAGTCAAAAGAAACAGACTGGCACAGTGGATTAAAAAACAAAATCCAACCATAGGCTGTATACAGGAAACACATTTCACTCAAAAGGAAATCCATAGACTGAAAGTCAAAGGATGGAAAGCAATGCTCCATGCAACAGGAACCCAGAATAAAGCAGGTGTAGCTATTCTGTTTGCAGACAATGTAAACTTCAAATTGACAACAATCAAAACAGATAAAGAAGGTCACTACATAGGTGTCAGGGGAAAACTGCAAGACGATGAGATAACAATCATAGACATCTATGCACCAAATGTGGGAGCTTCAAATTGTATAAGACAAATCTTAACAGGCATGAAAGCCCATATAATTAAGAACACGATTGTAACAGGGGACCTCAACACCACATTGACACAAAGAAATCGGTCAACTGGACAAAAAATAAGCAAGGAAATAACAGGTCTGAACCAAAGCTTTGAATAAATGAACTTAGTAGATGTATACAGAGTGTTCCACCCCACGACATCAGAATACAAATTTTTCTCAGCAGCACATGGGTCTTTCTCTACAATAGACAACATCCTAGTCCATAGACCATACCCTCCGAAATGCAAAAGATTTGAAATTATACCCTGTGTATTATCTGACCACACTGCAATGAAATTGGAAATTAATGACAAAAGGAACTCCAAAAACTCCATCAATACTTGGAAATTAAATAACAACCTCCTGAACAACCAATGGGTCACAGAAGAAATTCAAGAGGAAATGAAAAGATACCTACAAACGAATGAAAAAGTAAATAAAAGTTACTGGAATCTATGGGATGCATTGAAAGCAATCCACTGAGTGAAATTCCTACCAGTCAATTCACACATGAGGAAAACAATAAGAGAACAAATAAGTAGGTTAATGCTATATCTTAAACTTTTAGAAAAAGAAGAACAAGTCAGGCCCAAAGCCCAAAGAAGGGAGGAGAATATAAAGATTAGGCCAGAAATTAATGCAATTAAGTCAAAGAAAACCTTCCAAAAAGTAAATGAATCAAAGAGCTGGTTCTTTGAAAGAATAAATAACATTGAGAAACCCCAAGCCAACCTTATAAAGAAAAGGAAGGAAAGAACTCAGATTCACACACTAAGGAATGTAAAGGATGAAGTTGCTACAGATTCCACAGAAATTCAGAAGATCATTAATACCTACTTTGAAAATCTTTACTCCCGTAGGATAGAAAACTCAGAAGAAATGGACAGATTCCTAGACATGTACGAATTACCAAGGTTGACTCAAGATGATATCAAATTCCAGAATAAGTCCATATCAATTAATGAGATTGAAAATGTCATTAAAAACCTACCAACAAAGAAAAGCCCAGGCCCTGATGAATTCCCAGCAGAATTTTACTAGAAATTCAGAGAAGATTTAATACCAACCCTCTTCAAACTTTTCAATGAAACCGAAAAGGAAGTAGTTCTCCCTAACGCATTTCTGGAGGCAAGCATCATACTGATACCAAAACCAGAGAAAGACTCAACCAGGAAAGAGAACTACAGACCAGTCTCCCTAATGAATATAGATGCAAAGATACTCAATAAGATACTAGCAAATAGAATGCAGAAAATTATCAAGAAAATCATACATCACGACCAAGTTGGATTCACTGTAGGAATGGAAGGTTGGTTCAATATTGGTAAGTCTATAAGTGTTGTATGCCATATGAATGGAGCGAAAGACAAAAACCACATGATCATCTCAATAGATGCAGAAAAAACTTTTGTCAATGTCCATCATGTATTTAAAATAAAAACTCTACAGAAAATAGGAATAGACGGTCTTTATCTTAACATGATCAAAGCCATCTATGACAATCCAACAGCCACAATCATTCTCAGTGGACAAAAACTGAAAGCTTTTACTTTAAAATTGCAAGCAAGATGATGATGTCTGCTGTAAGCACTCCTGTTCAATATATTTCTGGAACCACAAGCCAGAGCAATAAGACAGGAGACAGAAATAAACGCAATAAGGATAGGAAAGGAAGAAGGAAAACTATCACTATTTGCAGAGGACATGATACTTTACATGCAAGACCCCCAAAACTGCACAAAAAGACTCCTTGAATTAATCAACAAATTCAGCAGTGTAGCTGGATACAAAGTGAACACCCAGAAATTGATAGCATTCCTATACACAAACAACAAACAGACTGAGAGAGAAATTAAGGAAACCATTCCTTTCACAATAACATCCAAGAAATTGAAATATTTAGGAATTAATTTAATAAAAAAAATAAAAGACCTATTCCATGAAAACTACAGTATTGAGCAAAAGAGACTGAAGAAGCGTTCAATAAACAGAAAAATATTCCTTGCTCATGGGTAGGAAGAACCAACATTGTGGAAGTGGCCATACATCCAAAACTACTGAACAGATTCAATGCAATTCCCATTAAACTATCATTAACATGACACACAGATCTCGAGAAAACATGCCTCAGTTCATCTGGAACCAGAAGAGACCCAAAATATCAAAAGCAATCCTGGGCAACAAGGACAAAGGTGGAATCACTATCCCTGACCTGAAGGTATACTACAAAGCTACTATCATGAAACCAACCTGGTACTGGCTAAAAAACAGACCTGAGGGTCAATGGAGCAGACTGGAAGAAAAAGCCACAACCAAAAACACACTCAGCCACCTAATCTTTGATAAAGGGGCCAAACAATCTCACTGGAAGAACAATAGCCTCTTTAATACATGGTGCTGGACAAATTGGCTTGCTACCTGCCAAAGACTAAAAATAGACCCAAGCTTATCACCATGCAACAAACTCCAGTTGAAATGGTTCACAGATCTCAATATTAAACCAGAAACACTAAATCTATGGGAAGAGAAAGTAGGTAAAAACCTTGAAGACATAGGGGTAGACAGAGAGTTCATGAACAAAAACCAAATTGCACATGAAACACTTGAAAGAATGAACAACTGGGATCTCATCCTACTGAAAAGTTTCTGCACATCTGAAGAAGTCACCATCAGAGTAAAAGGAAACCCACAAACTTGGAAAATTTTTAACCTCAGACAAAGGGCTTCTATCTAGAACATACAAAGAAATAAAAAATATCAACCTCCCCAAATTCAAAGACCCAATCCAAAAATGGACAGCTGAGATAAATACACACTTCTCAGATAAGGAAATACAAAAGGCATACAAATACATGAGAAAATATTCAACATCATTAGTCCTTTGAGAAATGCAAATTAAAACAACACTGAGATTCCACCTTACCCCAGTAAGAATGGCTAGCATTAAGAAATTAACCAATAACAAATGCTGGTGAGGCTGTGGAGAAATAGGAACCCTTCTCCACTGCTGTTGGGAATGCAGACTGGTGAAACCATTGTGGAAATCAGTTTGGAGATTCCTCAGAAAATGAGGTGTAGAGGACCCATTCAACCCAGATATTCCCCTTCTGGGTCTTTTCCCTGAACATCTAAAACCATCTTATCACCGTGAGATATGTGCACCCATGTTCATAGTAGCAAAGTTTGGAATTAACTTGCTCTTATTCGTCTGGAAGTTTGATGTGTAACATAAGTTTGCTTATTTGTGTTCATTGTGTTTTCCTAATGTGGGAATGCACTGTTATACATTTCACTATGAGGACTACTTTCATTACAACCCATGGGTTCTGGTAATTTGTATCTGCATTTTTGTTTGATTGTAGATAGTGTTTAATTTCTACTTAAATTTCTTCTGTGACCCATTGGTTGTTCAGGAGGATGTTATTTAATTTCCATGTGTTTATGGAGTTTTTGCAATTTCTTTTATTATTTAGTTCCAGCTTCATTGCACTATCATCTGATAATATGCATGGGATAATTTCAATGCATTTGCATTTACTTAAGCATGTTGTGTATGCAGGCATGGAGTGTATTTTAGAGAATGCCCCATGTGCAGCTGTGAAGAATGAGTATTCTAGTGTTGTTAGGTAGAACACTGTATAAATGTCTACTGAGTCCATTAGTTCACATGTTTGATTTAATTCTGCTATTTCTTTGCCGATTTTTTGTCTGGTTGATCTATCTCTTTGTGACAATGAAGTGTTAAAATCCCGCTACAATTGTGTTATTCCTTACTGATTTTTTACATCTGTTAGATTTGCCTTATATAGTTATGTGCTCCCACATTTGCTGAATATATATTTATGGTTGTTATCTCTTCCCCTTGCACTTTTCCCTCAACAAGAATATAGTGATCTTTTTTATCTCTTTTGATCACTGTTGTTTTGAAGTTCACCTTGTCTGCAGACAGAATAGCTGCTCCTGCTTTTTTCTGGGTTCTTATCGTTTGCAGTATTGTTTCCATCCTTTAACTTTTAGTCTATGGATTTCCTTTTGAGTTCAATGAATTTCTTGTATTCAGTATATTGTTGGATTTTGTTTCGTGATTCACTCTGCCAGTCTGTTTCTTTTGATTGCTGAATTGTGACCATTGACAGTAATAGTTATTAATGATGTGTATTGACTTTTCCTCTTCATGTTATTTTCCCACTGTTGGGTGTGTACTTTCCCCCTCTGTTTAACTGCTTACCTTGCTTAGTAGTTCTTTTCTATTGTTGGTCTTGAGATTGTGATCATTTTTATCTCTTTATATACTGTCTTTCTGTACTCTTTGTAAGATTGGTTTGGCACTCATGAATTTCTTCAGCTGATCTTTGTCATGGAAATATCTTATTTCTCCATCAATTTTGAAAGGAAGCATTGCATGGTAGAGCAATCTTGGTTGGAAGTTCTTTTCTTTCAGGACCTGAGTGCTTCACTCCAAGCTCTTCTTGACTTGATAGTCTGTGCGGAGAATGATGCCATGATTCTGATGGGCTTTCCTTCATAGGTGATCTGTTTCTTTTCTCCAACAGCTTTTAGTTACTCTGCACAATTTCTGGGATCTTGATTATTGTGTGTCTGGGTGTAGATTTGTTTGGGTTATGGATAATTGGGTTTCTATATGCCCCACTTATGTCTATATAAGGTTCCTGACCCATGCTTGTGAAACTTTTGCAATTACCGCTGTAAATAGTCTGTTTCTGCCACTCATGTTGTCTCCTGCACTTTCAATGACACTTATCAGCCTTATATTGTTTTTCCTGGCTTCATCTTGCAGCTGTTGAATTATTATTTGCTGTTCCTTCATTATTTTAAACAGATCTTTTCTTTCATGATCACTAGCTGCAAGGCTGTCTTCAAGTTCTAAGAGTCTATCTTCTGTTTCAGTCAAGTGGTAAGTCCAGCTTTCAAAGAAATTCTTAATTTCCTGAATGTCTCTTTGAATCTGTATCATGCATGCTAATTCTTTCTTATACTGTTTGTTCAAGGTTGCCATCATTTTTCTGTGCTACGGTTTTTTTTAAATCTATGTCTTCTTCTCATATGCCCAGCGATTCTTTCATTATGGTTGTCCTTTTTTTTACCTGAGCGATTCTTTCTGACCTGCTTTCCTCTATACCCTGATATAGTTGGTTCTTCACTTCAGTTGCTATTATTTGTGAAATTTCAGGTGTGTGACTTCCATGTTCTTCCATGTTGAAGTTTCCTGGAATTATTCTGTTTGGGGTGTTTGGCTGAGATTGCATTTTGCTTCTGCTTTTTGTTATTTTTCAATCTTTCTAGGTTTCAGGGAAATCAGGTTTGTTTCTGAGATGGCATTGGATGGCAGAGCCAGAGGACCTGGGAAAGCAGACGGCTCACCAAGGTTTCCTGAGGGCAAGGCCCCTCCTGTGCTGGTGGCAGGGTTGGAGCCAGAGGATCTGGGCTCCCAGGTAGCTCACCTAGGCCCTTTTCCCACCCAAGGCCCCTCCCAGTGTAGCAACAGCGGGTCAGAGTTGGAGGATTCAAGAGCTATGACAGCTCAACAAAGCTTCCTGAGACCAGAAGTAAATATTTTAATGGAAAGAGGAAAAGGAATATGAGAGGAGAAAAGGAAGAAAGGAAAACAAGAGGGAAGAAAATGTAAACAAAAGTTTTGTAAATAAGGAAGAGAAGAGAGTCTGAAAGGTGCAAGGCAGTTCAGAGAAAAAAGAAAAACAAGAAATATCATGCACAGGTACAAACTTCCTCTTATGACTGTGGTCAGTTTGTATATACGAAATGTACCAATAAAGTTAATTCAACATTTAGTACAATGAGACAGAGACAGAGAAAGAAAACGGAAGAGATGAGCCTTTTATCATGGGGTCATAAGGCCTATCTTTAATATTTCAATTTTCCTGACCTAGAGACTCCTGTGGAGATAAAGTTCTCAGAATGAGATCAAGGATGACGTATTCATTGGTCATATACAACACGTATGGCTCAGCGCTACCCTCAGCTGACCTACTATTGGCAAAGAAGGAAAGGCAGGAGAATGATGTGTACAGCTTCATGGTGCAACGGGGAAGGAAAGCCTTGATGAGAGCTCATTGGTGTCCTTGCAAAAATGTAAGGCAAATGCACAATCGTGGAGTGTCACGTGGTTGATCATGTGGTGCATATGTGATTCCCCTCCAATTATTCCTGAATTACAAGCAGAGGAAACAGGAATAAAATTGTCAGTGCAGAGTTGAACACTTGGGGCTGATGACTGCCCAGGTACAGTAGTATAGATCCTGGGGCTGGTTCTACATGTGCTGATCCATTTAAGCTCATGACTATCCTTTCATAATAAAAGTCTTATAATCAAGAAATGTGAATTCTTCAATTTTATTGTTCTTTATTACTGTTTTGGTTAGCTGAACCTGGGAAAAATGTCATCATTCTGTTTAGAATAGCTTGCTGATATTTTAGTGGTATGACACTGCATCTGTTAATCTGGTTTGAAAGACTGAAAGTCTTAATGACACTATACCTACTGGTTGCTAATAGGAAAGAAACTCCATTGATGTACATTTGGTATCCTTTATCATAACAATTTTCCTAGCTTACCACACCAAATTTTATATGTATTTTCTGGAGCTTATCTTCTTTGCATGTTTTCCTGGTATTCTTACTTCCTTTTTTGTATTATTGAAGGCGTCATTATTATTTCAGACCCCAGCCATCCATTGCTGGTAAACAGGATAACAGCTCAGTGCACACAATGACTGTGCAACTTCACTTCTGGTTGTCACCACTATTCTTCATCACTGCACTGGAAAATAGGCAGAATTTCTGCCTGAATTTCCTTATTCATGACATAAAATAATCCCAACACTAAATTCATCGATCCATGTAGACACCCAGCAACGAATGTGTATGGCCTCTGCCTATACCTGAACTCTGCTTATCCTGATTCACATCCTCAGAGGCAGCAGGGGACATGCATGTGAACTGGCATTTCTACATAGGGGCACAGAGGAGTGCTCTACCAGTGAAGGCACAGCCGATCCACCAAGGACAAGAGCTCTGTCTCCTCAAGATGCAGCAGAAGGGGTCCCAGCCCATCTTCCATGCATCTTGGGAGTCTGGGGTGGGCAGGAAATAGCCACAGTCTTCAGTGGTGTTGAAAAAGGAGAGTACTCTGCCCAGGCTTTCTTCCAGATGATGTTCCAGGGAGTGAAGAAGAGTATTTCTGATCAAACATCCTCTCCTGTTGTGTTACATGTCTTAATATATTGGAGAAATTATTCAAATTACTCATTGACTGAGTGATTTCCTGGATTGGTGTCAATATATACATTAGTATGCTTAAAAATTTAGGAATTCAATGTATTTTTTTGTGGGACAAGAGATTGAGCACAAGGTCTTGTGCATGTTCAATACGTAATCTTTAGTTAACTACTTCCTCAGCCATTTAAAAAAGTTACTATGAGCCAAAGTCTTCTGTGGTGTCTTCCTGTTAGAAAGACACAGACATATTGGATCAGGGTCTGCCCTAAAGACTTTCTCTTAATTTCTAAAGACAACCTATTTTTGAGTTAGGTCACATTCAAAAGTAACAGACTTCAGAGCTCATCGTTACACTTGAAGCACAGTTTCATCCAGATAATAGTCTGATCAAAATCAGAGAAGGCTTGAGTTTGGCAAGTCATATTTTTATGTGGAGGACTCAGCCAGATTCTCAAATAAGTTTGTGTTTTTACTTGGTACAACTTGCAATATATAGGTTAAGGGACATAAAAGCCTTTTATTTAAGAATATCTTTATACAATGTACTAAACCCAATATATTGTCAATAGATTCAATATGTTATCTTGCCATATCGTTATTATAAACATTAAAAAATCATTATCTTTTGACTGTTTGAAACTCTTTGAAGATTTTGCACTTACATTCCAACTTCATTTTGACTAGCTACTTTTCAAATGCGAATGAGGACATGAGTCCAACACCTTCCAAAAAGGAGAATAAATATTTTATCACAGTTTATATGCTTTAATTTTTAAGGTTTATCCTTACAGAAATCAGTGTTTTCTTCCATCTTTAACATGTCAATTATTGTTATCCTGTCAGAGTTTATAAGGCAATCTTGATACCTATACAATAAGAGAAGTCTAAGTGCACAATGAGGCTCAAACTTTGTCCTGGTGATTTAGATACTGACAGATACAAGATTCCATACATTGAACTAATACAGTGTTATTCAGAATAATCTACCTTCCCTGAAATTTCCACTGAATTTAGTGCCTGTAATGTTGCCTGCATTTCCCTGCTCCTCAAAAATTTGGATGATGGGAAATAGAGAAGTTGTTTTCAGCTTTGCTTGTCTGCTTTAGGGTGAGGGAAAAAGAGAAATTTACCACACACACTCATGCTCTCACAAAAGCTTAAGTCCTGGAGGAACTCAATTCTGTAGGACTTGAAATGGATTCTGACAGTATATTGAATCAAGGAATGAAGATACTTGAAAGCAGGAAACAGCAGGGAAGTAGGATAAAGTATACAGCTCGAAAAGGGCTTTGTATTTGTGCATGATGTTCCATTACTACTTTTAGTTTCCTGGCTGTAGTGCAATTATTTGTACCCCAAGCAATGGAGAGAATGTGTGGCTTTGAGTTTCAGCACATAGGCCTGTTTTGCAGAGAACATGGCTTTGCAGGGTGAGTTCTGTGGCTCCAACTCTCGACCCTGTGCCTGTCAGGTGATAGCTCTCAATCTCCCACCTTGGATGGCACAATGTCCAATAACTTTTGGCTGACCTTGAGGATTTTGAGGCTGTTTCAAGATAACCCTAACATTAAATCCTCTAGGGCAATGCATTTAGCAACACCTCTAATGGCATCTACAACAATGGCTTATTGAAAAAAACTTAGGAGCAAATCTGCCCAGGAGGAGGTGGCCCCTGGGACGTTGCCATCAGTGGAAGTGGATTAAATCATGGCAGCTTGGGGCTGAGAAAAAATATGCAAGCATAATTTCTGTGTTTTGCTTTTCTCCATGACACTAAACCTCAGGTGTAGAGCCCAGGGGCCTGTGGTGGCAAATTTCTCCAGGGACGTGGAGCAGGCACTGCTGACAGAGGCCAAGGCCTCAGAGTGTCCAATTGAGTCAGAAGCAATGTAAGTCTGACTCACACATACATATTTATTTACTTGGCTGTCAATGCAATTCTCCTCTTCACTCACCATAAATCTTTGCATACGCATATAAGATGTTCCTTTCGATTTTTATCTTCCTTTTCATGCAGCTTCCTGCCTTAGTGTGTACTTTTGATAATGAAGCCTGCCTTCACCGAAGGAGCACCAGTGTGCGCAAGGATGGAGACGTGGTGATTGGGGGCTTTTTCTCTCTTTATTACTATATCTACTATACTGCAATCTTTGAGATAAAGCCTACTACAGAATTCTATTACTTTCCGTAAGTGTCTTCTTCATTCATTGATTTTCTTTCTGGACATAGGATAGATAATGGTTACGGATCCATACTGCATTGATATTCTCTACAGTGCCACCTGTTCTGCCCCCTACATCTGCACAAGAGGCCTACCTATAAGTTTTGCCTCTTTTTATAGTTGGGAATAGGGGAAGAGGATATTCTTTCTGTTTATTTGTGCTTTGAGCTTCTCATTCTAAGTCTTGAAATCTGAGGGGGACCCCACGCTCCACCTTATTCCTTGGTCCATGACCTTCCTGCATGGCATTCAGTGATGTTCTTCATCTCAATTGAACACCTTGGATTAATTGAATGCTAAAAGACTATTGCCAAATATTCCCAAATAAAGTGAAGGGTTTGCTGTTTCTCTAGTTCTCTAACTATAAACTTACTTACATTCTTACCGATTGTTTTCTGATAATTCTACCGCTTTGGCTTGGAGAAACTTGTCCCTGTAAGCATTCAGTTACTATTTCAAATACATTTTAGGGTGCTCCAGGACTCCTGCCACTGCAAGCTGAGCCCAAAGTAAGCGGTAAATCCCCTGTGAGACTGTCCCCCACCAGTGTGTTTCTTGCTCACTTAGATGTGTGTATCTTTCCACTATTCAGATGCTATCTTATCAGGTCTCACACCAGACACATAATTAAAGAGTGTATTTTCCAAAGTGTCTGAGAATTCTAGCAAATGTCGTGTGCTTTTCTGAGGAAAGGAAATGTTAATGGAATAGTGATTGATGGAATCTTTTAGAAGATGCTGACCCAAAGTGCTCCTGTCACAGCTGGGCATATGAAGGGTGAAAATTATAAGCAGAAAGAGCTTTCTTGGTCATGACACACTGCAACAGCCTTGTTCTAAAGACTGCAAATTAGGATGCTTGGCAGACTACCTAATATGAGTAGAAACTCACTGTTTTCCTGGCCAGATCCCAAGGAGTTTCTTTCTCACCTGTCTAGCAGATGCAGGTGTTTGGTCCCTCAGGTACTTGGCCCAGCTTGTGGGGGCTACAGACTTTTTGCCTCAGGTCATGCATGAAGTTTGGATGCTGCCACTTTTGTGTTAACTGGTATTTAAGGGGCCTCACTGGTAGGACTTTGGGATCACATGAATAGCGAGGGCACTCTGCCGAGACCCTTCCCAAGCAGAACCCTGAAAACCCTATGAAGGGACCACTTAGCACTGGAATTGGCATTCTAGGTTTGGAAGGTCTTCCGACCTGGTGATGTAACTATCTCTGCACTTTCTCTTTCTCCTGTGTAATCATGAATGTGTCCACTAACAGTTTATTAAACATTATTTTGTTATTTTTAACTTGATGATAGAATCATGTCAGTATGCCCTTAATGCGCCTTTTTTTCCTATCATTTTCTAAAACGTGTGTTGTTACAGACGTGCTTAATACACAGCGCTTTATTCTGGGACCAACTACTGAGTGTTTCTTGTTTG